CTAGCTGAAGACACTGGGTCACGAATTCAGTAAGTTATTGATAGGTCTCCCTAAATTGTTTCATTGCATCAGGTTTCCATCCCCTAGTAGTATCCCAAGTCGAAAAAGATTTGGGAGTCCTGGTGCCCCATGACTTAAAGTCTTACGCTAACTGTGACAAAAATGCCTTCCGAGCAAACCTTGCACTGGTAACGTTGAGGCGCATTTTTGGTCAGTTTGACGGAAGAACTTTCCACACAATCTTCAATAGTTTCATCCGTCCCCATTTAGAGTACGGAAACATAGTACTCCCCCCTCACTCCAAAAGGATAAGGTCACTTTGGAGCGTATCCAACGGCGAGCCACGAAATCAGTTCGAGGACTCAAATCTAAGCCTTACGAAGAACGCCTCCGTTCACTAGACCTTTACCCACTAGAATATAGGCGTCTTAGAGGTGATTTATTAATGGCTTATAGTATTCTTAACACTTCTGGACATCCTCTTAAACACCTACTTAAGCTTAGTTCGAACAATAACCTAAGGGGTAACACCCAGAAACTGGAAACACAACATAGCAAGACGGAATGTAGACACAACTTCTACTCCTTAAGAGTTGTCAAAAGCTGGAATTCGCTGCCGGCCGACCTAGTCCAAGCGACTTCTCAGGAGTCCTTCAAGAGGCAACTTGACCTATTCTTAAGGACCAAGGACAGCATCGCACTATGATTTACCAATTTCTTTTCCTCTTTTATTGTTAACATACCTAGATTCCTGCCTGGAGGATTTGGTGATCCCCTGCTACTAGACACGGAAGCCTGTTAAGCGAAAGCTTCTTCTATTCCGTCCACAACCATTTGAACCATTTGATTTGGGTAGTACTGTTTAAAACAATGAGCTAGGTTCAAGGTTAAGGTCAAGTGAGCGATGGAAATTTGGTTTGTAAAGTCCATCTCAAGGTGCTGGTATGGTCGTATTTGTGGTCATCAGATAACTTTGAATTTACCTTACTTCCTAATTAGTTGTTACTTAAAAATTGTGCAATATGCTTACGTGCACCTAGTCTCTGGCTCACTGATCCTCTTCTTTTGTAGGTCCTCACTCACACCTTTCTTCCCACTCCTTACATAACACACCAACCTTGACGCCGACTTACCAACGGCTTCAGGCTACGGGAATATGAATGACTATGACCATAGTTGTGAGCGGAAATTACTGAGCAGTCACTCAACTTTTGGATTACCACCTGTGAAGTCAGACAGCTCTCTGGTTGATGATAACATTGGTGTGGAAAGAATTACTAAGGCATTTTCACCTCCAGAAAATAGACTCGCTCCACTTCTTGGCAAAAAGTTGTTCATGCATTATGAATCAGGCACACCTCGTGACAAACACATTGAACAAGTGTTAAAGAAGCTTAAAGGAGCAAGTTTACCTTTTTTGTGCTCAGTATTATTTTTCCTGAGCGTTTTACGTGTGGTAGATCTTAGGTTAATAAGTTTTGGTTGAAAATAAGCAAGACACTTCGCACTGTCAACACGTAATATTCAATGAAATCTGGTAGGATAGTTTATAGAATGTGACTGAAAACTGGAACAATCTACGCACCAAATATAGTGTTTGTGGTGTTAGTCTTTATCCAATGCGTCCAGCCAATTGGGGGCCGAACAAACAATGTAACGGTCCGAAAACCTAGTTTAGTACATTATATTTTGAAGGATATAGGGGACAGAACGCCAAAACCAATTTACTATTTCCCAGTGTTCTTGTATGTGTTTAGCTTTCTCTGGGGTAATTCAGTCAGGACACAAAGTATTCTTGAAATCAGATTCGAGGAGTTAGTTGCACGGTAGGAAAACCTGTATTCTGTGATGTGGTTTGTCCTTGGCCTTTGAATTTACCAACCGTGTCATGTGTATTAGTTGGTCTAATTGAAGGAGTGACAGAGGTCCTGTTCATCATCGGGATAGTACAATAAGGTTTAACTTTCTAGTCCACTCGTAAAAGAAGCTAGGCACAGGCAAAAGTTCTTTGCACTTTCCAAGCTATGAGTTACATTTTAATTAAGAGTTTATGACTTGAACGCAATTTGTTGTTTGGCTTTGCTTCTACACATGTTTTTCTTGATGTAGCATTTCGCGAGTTAAGATTATTACAACATGATTGGCTACAGCCTCTCCATTGTTCTAGTCGTCTATCATTTGAGATGCAGTTACTTTGCTAACTTAAATGAGAATCACTTGTTCATTTTTGGTTTTATAATCACTGGTGTGTTGAACAAATGCCAGTAAGGTTGTGAATTCCAACGACTTCTGGTCAAATGAGTTTAATGATGACTCCGTCTCTAAGCCTAGAAATTGGGTTGAACTTGCGTGCATTAAGGCCTATGCAGCTATTTGACCGGAAGTACGGTTCGTTTTTCCGTTTTGACAGCTTTCACTTATATATAACCTTTTAATATTATCAGCCAGATTAGAAATAGTAATGACAGATTCCAAAACTAAAGATTTGTTTTTTAACAGTACTTTTCTACAGAAAACCGCTTGAGTGTAGACTTCTAGAATCTAAATTTTGTTTTACGAAATGATCTGTTTCTATTTTGGTCTCTAGCTCTTCAGTCTTTTTTTGACTTCCACTTTATAAATGATAATTGACTTGTCTGAGAGACTTGACATAATTTTGCGTTTATTTAGTTTATAGTTACCTTTCTGGTGGCGTTTTAGCGGCAGGTGGTTGAGCTCTTTCTCTGCTTTTCATAATTACTTTCTGATAAGCTACTTAAAACTGCCCATCGACTTTACTATGAATGAGATGTTTCATTGTATAGTTTTTGTCTTCTGTGGGTTACACTGTAGTGTGTATTGCAGTGATGTCTTGAAAACGTGTTTAAAACATCTTGCTTATCGGTGCTCTACAGTGTAATATCAACAACATGATCACCAGCCAAAAGAATTAGCTATTTTGTATGACTAAGTAACATGTTTACGTACGGAATCTTGATATGAAAACAATATGGTTACATATAGTAAACGATTGGCCCTCAAATGCCCTGGTATAACCGAGTGTAGAGAGAGTCAGCTCTCTATATCTTTCAAAATGCTCTCACATAATCACGTGCATATAACCACTGACAAGGAAGTCCTACTCACTACCTTCTCGTGGCACTACTGTTGTTTAAGGAATTAAGAGGACGAAAAGCGGATGTCCATCGCTTTAACCGGGTTGGTGGACACGGAGAGTCCACCTGGGGGGGTATAAAACCCTGATTCCAAACTAATCGTGCACACGCACTCCAGTATCCTGATTAAACAAATGGGGTACGAACCAATTGTTGGTCACCGGCTACCATGAGACTGCATCTCCTGACATTGCTCCATTGCCTTGTTGATCAGACATTTAGGTCGAAGGCTTCGAGTGTGGCTTTATGAGAAAACGACCTGCTTCGGTCTGGACACCCGGTCAATATCCCAGCTTTCACACAAATTGAATGATTTATGTGGCGCATGTCTATCTGGTGCCTTCTTGTACCAATGTTTATGTGTTTAAATAAATAATGAATGAACAGAAGTGCATATATATCCAAATAAATAAATAAATAATATTCAATCTACGTAGAATTTACCAAATTAACAGAATATTTCCAAGATTTTTTCAAAAAAAATCATTCCTTTTTCAATACTACTTACAATCTACTTTCATGTGATTGAATAATGTTGAAAATGCAACAATTTTTGTATTATGTAAGAGATTTTAGTTCATAGTTAGTATTAAAATACCGAATGTTAAATTTCATGTAACATGTGACATTAACATATGTATTGTATATTCATGACCTTAGAAATATCCGTCCTTGATATAATTTAGATTGAAAAAATATTCTTTTAGTTCATTTGATTGCAGTATTTAATAGAAAGAATAGTGATTTATGGAGCCTATTAACTGTTACGCATTGATAATAACTCACGTACCTTCTAAGAAATATAACCTTAATCTGTTATAGTCAACTCAACCTAGATTTCACCATAAATTGCAAACAAAAGGCTGTACAGCAGCTCGCCTATGGTGGAAACTCGGTCCTATCTAAACGTTCTCGAGTCACTGCCTGGTCGAAAACTATGCTACCACCGAATACGAATACTGAAGCAGTTTTTCTGAAACCACGTGCACCATTCAAACTGGCTGCCTTCAGCGTTCGCACACATATACAGGTCGGACAACAGATAGGGCTGGTTATGTCTTTAGAAAGTCTTAATATTGATGTTTGTTGTCTATGCGAGACCCGTATTCAAGACTGGTGAAGTACTACAAATTCACTCTCCATCTGTCGCTTCAAAAAGCTTGTTTTACGTGCGCTTGTCTGGGAACCCTGTGGCATCTTCGTCTGGTCTTGCTGGTGTTGGTGTCGCACTAAGCGCTAGAGCTGAGGTAGCGCTAATTGATTGAATTCCGATTAACAGTCGGTTATGTGCTGTTATTTTAGAGAGTTACATCAAAGTGAGAAGAAATCAGTGTGAGAAACGATGTCTGTTCGTCATCGCCTATTCTCCGACAGATTGCAGCGCGGATGCAATCAAGGATGAATTCTAACACCAGTTAACTGTTGTTCTCCAGAAAGTGCGTCATTATAGTACTAGCCGGAGTTTTGAATTCTCAGGTCGGGCGTCTAGGCACAGAAGAGAATCGTTTTGGTGGCCGATGGGGACTTGTTGGTCGCAGGACAGATAACGAGGACCGTGTATTGGAACTGTACATAGACCACAACCTGTTTCTGGCTAGCACTAACTTTCGGCACAGTCATCGCCGATGTGCCACCTGGCATCCTTCCTCTGCATCTCAAGCCTGGACTCAGATTGATCACATCGCGATCAGCTACTGCTGGCGTGGTTGTGTACAAGACTGCCGCTCCTTTTGGAGTACCTATCTGGATTCCTTACAACTCATTGAAGCCCGCCGGTCTACTCCGGGTAACCATGAGCTTGACCACGAACGATGTTACGTAGCGAAATTAGGCAAAGCTTGCGTAAGGACCGAGAAGCCTGGTGGTCGGAGCGTGCTAATGAGCTGGAAGCAGCAGCTGCATCTGGTAACTACCGGAAGCTCTTCCAACTCATCCGAGCCACTGGCAGCAAGAAGTCTGGTGTGAGTGAAACAATCTGCGAGGATGATGGGATGCCAATCACTAACATCCATCGACGTCTTGGACGATGGGCAGAATTTTTCGAAGGGCAGTTCAACTGGCCTGCTGCTCCGGCAACATCGGTCAGACTGTCCTGCCCTCCATGGCCGGTGACGACTGATCCACCAAATGAGGAGGAAGTCCGCAAGGAACTCCAACTCTTGAAGCGTTACAAATCACCTGGCCCAGATGACTTACCTCCGGCTCTTTTTAAAGATGGTGGTGACTTTTTGACTAAGGAATTGACGACGTTGTTTACAAAGGTTTGGGAACTAGAGAGTGTACCAACGTCATGGAATGAGTCGATAGTTGTCCCTATCTTTAAAAAGGGTTCACGTCGTTCCTGTAACAACTATCGGGGGATAAGTCTACTTCCGATTGCGTCCAAGCTATTGGCTTCCGTCATACTTCGTAGGTTGTTCAAAACCCGAGAAAGATTGACTCGCGAGGAGCAGGCTGGGTTTCGTTCTGGTCGAGGATGTATTGATCATATCTTCACCCTCCGCCAAATGTTAGAACACCGCCATACTTTTCAAAGTGTTTCTTGACATCAGGGCTGCCTTCGATTCGTTGGACAGGACTGTTCTCTGGGATTGTCTATTGAAGAAGGGTGTGCCTGAGAAGTTTATTAACATCCTAAAAGCCCTATATAAAACACCTCAGGCAGAGTGAGGGCATACAACCACCTCTCTCCATTGTTCCATTCGAGCAGTGGGGTTAGGCAGGGTTGCCCAATCTCACCATTCCTCTTCAACTTTGCCATCGATGACATTCTGGAAACAGCTCTGATGAATGTAAGTAATGGTGGTGTGGATCTGTTGCCTGGAGAAAGACTTCTCGACCTTGAGTATGCGGACGATATTGTCTTACTGTGCGATAATGCCCAAGGCATGCAATCCGCACTTAATCAGTTGGCAATCAGTGTCCGTAGGTATGGTATGTGCTTTGCACCTTCGAAGTGCAAAGTACTTCTACAAGACTGGCAGGATTCTAATCCTGTACTCACCCTGGATGGTGAGCAGATAGACGTAGTCGAGAAGTTCGTGTATCTGGGTAGCTGCATAAGTGCTGGTGGGGTGTGAGTGATGAGATCAATGCACGTATAGTGAAAGCCAGAGCGGCTTATGCCAATCTGGGCCACCTTTGGCGCCTTCGTGATGTTAGTCTGGCTGTAAAAGGTCGGATCTACAACGCGTCGGTGAGAGCAGTTTTGCTCTATGCTTGTGAAACCTGGCCTCTCCGAGTTGAGGACGTTAGACGACTCTCTGTGTTCGATCATCGCTGTCTCCGAAGGATTGCTGACATTCAGTGGCAACACCATGTCAGTAATGCAGAGGTTCGGCATCGTGTGTTCGGGCACAGAGATGATAATCAATTGGTGTCACCATCTTGAAACACCGACTTCGGTGGCTTGGACATGTTCTCCGAATGTCGTCCCAGAGAATTCCACGTCGTGCATTATTTGCCGACTCTGGGACTGGTTGGAAGAAGCGGAGAGGTGGTCAGTGCATGACATGGTGTCGTGGTATGAAAGAAAGCTGCAAAGGACTGGCTTGTGTTGGTCCTTCACGACTCCCTGGTTGGGGTCCGAGAGATGGTGCTACACAGTGGCTAGAGACGTTATCAGATATGGCTCAGAATAGAAGCCAGTGGCGATCCTGCTGTAACCTTCTCTTACTTTCTTCATAAAAAGTGGTTGTTTCTTCCTTAACTGAAAGATTTCTGATTTTAGCTTTCGTTTCCTCCATTACTATTATTATTATTATTATTATTATTATTATTATTATTATTATTATTATTATTATTATTATTATTATTATTATTACACCACCTTACAATAATCTGTTCGTTATTGTTCCTTTTTTTACGTTCCTTACCTTTTTTTCTCTTCGAATTCTCATTGTTTTGTATGGCGCATATATATTTGGTGCCCTCTTGTACCAATATTTATGTGTTCAACTAAATAAATAATAAATGCTGTACCAATTATAGATTGAATTATCAGAAACTTCCTTTCTGTTAACACCAGTAAATACACAATGCTAATGGTGAACAGTAATGGTACATCCATCTAGTATATTCTGGGTGATCCCACTATCATACTTTTAACTATAGTAAAAATTGTTGGAGTCTCACTAGATAAAACTCTAGGGGTGTTTCTTTCTACTGGGGTAATGTATTCCATACCCCATACTGTTAGAATTTATTTCCAGAACATTAATTAGCCTGATTCCTTAACTATTAAAAACGTTTTCAGTGTTTACCCAAGATCTCATTTGGTAAAGTCCCCTGCATTATGTCTAATTGTCATAATAAGGATGTTGCTCTCTTGAATGTTCTCAAAGAAGGGAAACCAACAAGTTATTTCGACTAAACAATAAACCATACTTAGCTGGCCTTAACTGCATTAAACTTACAACCTGCGTAGTACACAAGGGTTAGGGATATTTAATCAGAATGTCATATAATTCACAAAATTTTACTAGAACAGTTCACTTTATATGATTCAGTGCTACAATACATCTAAGAGGACATACACTGAGGATACAAAATGAAAGAGCTCGCACGAAAATTCGTGATAGCGTTTTCATGGTTATAATCTGTAAGTTATAGGATTCCTTACTAGAGGCCATAGTAACGACACTTGTAGCATGTTTACATTCAATTTGTCAAGTCAGATCTATATTGCTCCAGTGCGATCAATTCTACTGTATATTTGCGAAACCTAGCCTCCAGGTTAAGGATGTTCAGAAAATTTATCTGATGATCGTTACGTCTGAGGGATTATAGACTTTCAGTGACAATAACGTTGTAATAATATAGTGGTTTGGCGGTGTGTGTTTCAACACAGGGACGACAATTCCATTAGTCACCAGCTTGAAGTACGGCTTCGGCGGCTTGGACATGTGTTACGAATGTCATCCCAATGAATCCCACATCACCCATTACTTGCCGACTCTAGGACAACGTGGAAAAAACAGTGAATTGGTTATTTCATGATATGACATTGTTTTATGAAAGAAAGCTGTATAGGACTGGAATTTGTCCATCACGATCTACTGTTTAGGGTCTTGTAGGTAGTGCGACTCGGAGGCTCAGGACGCTGTCATACATGGCTCAAAACAAATGCCCATGGTGATCCTGGTCTAGCTTTCCTTTACATTCATAAAAGTGAAAGGAACTCCCTTAACTGAAAGAAGTATTTCTGTTTTGTATATTAACCGAACTGTTTCCCTATTATATACTGTTCTCGCCCACTTATTTTTGCTCATTTAATCTTTTTTGATTATATTCTCCCTTCGTCTATCCCTATTTGTGGCGCACATTTATTTTAGTGCCCAGTTGTTGTAATGTATGTGTGCTTAATAAATCCGCTACAGTGACTTTCTGAAGTTCTGGAACTGAGTTGTTGACGTCACTTACAGTATCATCGGTATCCGTTAACTATCTTTTATTACTTATATCGTTCATTTTGTCCTCGGGAAGTTTTTAAACGGATTTCATCACTTATAGCTTCAATACCTCTAGTGGTTTTGCCCCATTCTCAGTAGAGTTAGCGTGAATGTGGTTTGTAGTACCATCTAGTAAAAGCTGGCGTTCGTCCACAACATATAGTACTGCACCAGTCGTTGAAATTATCATAGTACATCCCTATATTGACAACGTGCCCGAGCTACGTATAGTAAAATCGAACTCACAAGAAAGGCTACTAGACCAAATGACTTGTGTGCCCCTTTGTACCGATATTTATATGTTCAAATAAATAAATAAATAACTAGACTAAGAAAAGGAGAAATGTTATATGAAGAAAAAAAGCGAATAAACATTGACTAAACTGCTTTCAGTCAAAGTATATTTGATAGATCTTCACGTGAAATGTGCGATCTTATACTTGCGACCTGCCAGTTGGGGACCAAGTGTTTTTATCACTAGACCATTACTTAATCACTATCCCTAAATGTGTTGCAGAAGTCCAACACAAGGCCTACGTTTTTGTTCAGGAAGTAAATAATTCTTGGTGAAGTCGTTACTCATCACTTTAGTGTTACAGACATTCGTTTATAATGTTTCTGGATTCTGTGCCTTTATTGCCTCCAATTTTTTCGCTACTGCTGTTATTACTGTTCTAACTATTTTGTTTTACCTTCTGTCGATTCCACCTGTAGCTAGATTTAGTTTGATGACAAACATATAAGACTGTTCGAACTAAAAACATACCAATGTTTGATAAGAGCCGCTTACCGAACTTAAGAATCTAAACCAATTATTCTTTTTTTATAAACTTTGATAGAACAATACGAAGATGAAGTTGATTTGAAAAGTGTGATTTATTTGCACCATACATTGCATTTTTCATATCTACTCTGTTTTTTTATTGTTCCATCAAAAGTTAAGGGTTCTATGTTGAAATTCTTAAAATAGAGTCGCGACGGTGTGCTATAGAGTTCATAATTCATGAAACTCACGAACGTCTGAATCGTCTATCTTGTGAATAACTGATACTTTTTGTTCTTCGTTTGGAATTTTCCTTAACATCTGTTTTCTTTAGTTCCTAATTGATATTGTATTTAATATTTTTTCTTATTGATTTCTCATTATACTGATGCACAGTATAGCGACTTTGACAAGTATCCCAATACATAACGTTCAATTTATTTTCATGTCCGCTTATCTTAAATGGTATCAAAATTCAGATAAGTGACCCTGTAATTTAAAACTAATCATCATAAATTACTTTCTGCTGAAACAGTAACTCATCCCCCAACTATTCTTTTCCTAATAATTATTCTATATCGTTTCCTCTTACAAAACTTAGGAGGTAGTTGAATTCTTTAGTCGGGATGTTGATTACGTCATAACTAATCGGATATCATCTCGATTGGCATCCCCTACTATTGATGAATCACCGGTTACATCGTCGAAACAATCCACTTCGCTTCACAATCAGCTCTCATCTACTTCGCAAACACCAAACAATCTCAAAGTTCCTGTCCTAATAGGAAGCAAACCTGTTAATAGCCCGGTAACACGTGGTAGAGCTATGTTACTTGCCGCACGCAAAATTGCTACTGAAGATTCTAATTCTGCTTCATCAGGTATTACAGCCTCATCGATATTAAACCAAGTAAGTTGGTTTTTATTCAACTGATTTAAATTATCACCACAAATGCCTTTTTCTAGTATCGGTGATACTTTTAGACTTGTTTCAAAAACTACATTTTCAGGGTAAGAACCCATGTTAATGGACAAAGCCTAAATGAATAGATTCATGGCAAATGATATGTTGACTAAATCTGATTGACCAATACATGTTACCCCTGTTTGATACTTTGAATGTCTAACAGTTTTAAGATTGTTGGTCCTGAATATGGTGATACTAAGAGGATGTTGTAATGTGGTCTCCATTTCGCAATAATTTTGTCTTTATACTTGCGATGCAATAACATAGCGAGACTAATGTAGTCATGATAACCTCAAGACTTCCAGCTAATGTGTTTCGGCCCCAATCATGTCACGGCAGTCTACGTTTAATCTGCCCTCGCTCTTTATCGTGTTTGAAAGCTTAGTGTGGTGGATTTCTGAGTATATGTCAACTCGGTAGATGCTAGAGAAATCCACTGGTCTTTTCCTTAGGTAATGAGAAGTTAACATTGCCTTTATAATGTCCTAATTTCACTTATATCTTTAATTATATTTCGTGATTTTCTTACTTTTATTTGAAATTTAGGCTCAAACATCCAATGATGTATCTGTTGCACCTATACAATCTCAGTCATCATCTATGTCTTGT